GTGTGTTGGAGAGTAAATCCACAACATTAACAATCTGAGCACGATGTGTTGCCAGTAATTGAAACTTGCTTCATCAGGCGACAGCCAGATTTGTTTCGTTCCTTAAATCGAGGACGGTAGATGTGATGACGTCACTCGTGAGCCCTTCTTGTGGGATTAATGAATGCATATAAATTACAATGGGTATCCATTGCCGGTGGGGTATTCTATGGTAATAAATGTACATTATGCATGTACATTATGCACCTCCTGTCGTTTACCGGTCTGCTGATCTCACTTCTATGCTTCACGCCACTGGACAGTGCAGTTAAGTATAGTTAGTAAACCACCATAGCCATATGAAACTATTTCAAACATCATTGGAACCTCATTTGCCAGTAAAAAATTATGATAAATGGTTTTTTACCCTTCTATCTGGCAACAAAACTGAGTTGTGCGCCTTTTGGCGTCATCTGGTCCAATACCATGTGAGATTAGGCTCTAAGGAAAGCTGTCTCGGGTGAAGACCAATCAACTTCAAGGATAGTGCATACATTATCAGAGTTATGTTTTTTGTTTGCATTATGACTGCAGGTATTGTGGTCTATGCAAACATGACTCCTTGTAAAAAAAAAAGTGTCAGTTTTGTTGCCAGATAGAAGGGTAAAAAAACAATTATCATATTTCAAACATTTTATTTTTATTTTGCCGTGTAAGGCCCAGGCCTACGTCACACTCCACGTGACGTGGGCCTGGGCTCTGGGCTGGGGCGGATTTCCTTTCTTGGATGAGATCTTTGAGTAGCCAAAGCGTAGCGCCCCTACAAGCTCAAAGGGCCTCCAATTTATGAAAACACACCGTGCGTCAAATATCACCTCAAATTCAAATCGTCCAAAGAAGCAGATTAACATAAAAGCAACGATCAATCTGGCTCATGACAATCTTGTCCGCATCTCTCTTCTCTCATCTCGCTACATCTCTATCTCTTGTCTAAATCTATTTTTGTTATATCGCTAGGGTTCCATAGATTGAAGGGAGGTTGCTCCCAAAAAACACCGTCTGCTTAGGGGCCCTGTATGTGCCGGCACCACCGCACGCGAACACAAGACGAAGAGGTTCGTCAGACATGGAGCTGTGCCCTTCCACGGTAAATGCTAAAGGACATGGACTCCAAAGGCAGTGAAGGGTGATGCCTATCACAAGCCTCCATCAAAAGTCAACGTGCTAGCCTGCCATTAAAATTCACAAGCCGGCACTGCAAAGTAAATCTGATCCCTTAAGGACAACCCCTCAGGCAAAGATATATATTTTATGATAAAGACTTTCCCAACAGAATAAATCCGCAGCGTTGTAGCGCATTTATTTTATTTTACAATTTTTCGTAATAAATTCTGATTCGTGTGTTTTCTTCTTTTTTCCACCCTGTAAAGTATTTACGTGTTGCGTGAATAATATCCTTATACATTTTGCAGGGTCGGTGGCTAACAGTGGGATTAGGATCTGCCTCCAAGGGTTGATGTTCTTGTCGTTAGGAATTGAGTTTCTGCCACTGTCCCTGTTGCGACTCTGAATTCCGGTCACTGCCATCGGAACGGGGAATGCTGCTGCGGTGTATAACGGCAAATCGACTCGACTTGCAATCCACGCGTCGCCGGCTCGATTTGACCTCCCAGCGCGGCACGTTTCTTAACGTAATTCCTCACGCCACTGTCCACCCAGCAGTACATGTGGGTGTGAGCGGCTGGTCGTACGCCGTGGGGTAAAGTGTGGGGACTCCCAGCTCAGTGCTGCCTTGCAGTAGCTATAGCTACGTGTCAAATGCAGGTGCGGGGTGGGACGAATGGTCGCTGGTGCGGCTGCAACAGCGATAATTATCGCCTCTCTGCGATAATGAGGTTGACGTTTCAGATGCCAAGTACTCCGCTCTGTGATTACTTCGTACTAATCAGCGGACTCCCAGCGTCCTGATTAGGTTGTGATTATTGCCAAGGCTTTGCTAAGGCTTGAGTGACAGGGTCATGGTTACCCTCTGTGATTAGGACAGTACACAAATACATTTACAACCGTAACTCCTGTGCATGATACGGAGTGCCGTGTCAAGGGGACGCAGTTTCATTTGGGGGCTGGGCTTGCTCTGTCAATTTGGTTTAGTGGCTGGCTGCACCAAACCGGATTCTCCCGGCGGGAGAGGAGATTTTCTGACTGCGATGTCTCCCTCGCCCTGCGATCTGTCCTCTGAGGCCAGTTTTTTCCAGTTCGCTAGCGTCATCCCAAGTGTGTCCAAAGCAGATCATTTAATTACTTTATCCCTTTCAATCCCGTTTGCATCGAGCCTATGTGCAGCGGTCGACGTAACCACTCGCGGCATCCATGAGAGACCGTTGCTGTTTGTTGTTGTTGCTTTTCGTTGTCGAAAATTGGGTTACGCGAATTGCATTAATTTGTCACGTGCACTGAATTCCTCATTATATCGAAGCAGGGTTTCAGTTTCGCAGTCCCAGCGGTCTGCATCATGGTATCCATTGCTGCCTGCTCGATCTCTTCGTAATTCGCACATTTATTTCGGTTTTATTTTTTTCAAAAGCCGTTACTTTGCTGAGTGTATTTCCTGCCAGCGTTTCCGCCGGAGTGATTTTCGTTTTGTATTTTGAGGCGAACTTCTCGGCTGCGCTGCTGATGATGATGCCTTCAAATGTTTTATGCAACCCCTATAGGTCAGGGGGCGCACGGGCGGATCCGGAAATGTGAAGCGGCTGAAATAGCGCCCTATATGAATAATACATTATATTACCCGGTAAATATCAATAAAATAGACATTATTTTTGGGTTTCATCGCTGGGGGTGGGGGGAGTCCTCCCTTGGCCCAAGGTTTTGTTTCCACTACTGCACATGGCCAGATCTTGACTTTCGTTCTTCCTTTGTTTCGCTGTCCCTTGGGAGTGCAAACAGACGGAAGGCTGCCACGGTTCAATGGTTGGCAGTGCCACTGCACTTGTAATCCAGAGTTGGCCGGATCGATTCGATCTCCCAGCGTGGCAGTTAAGACGATTGACAAGTTTCTTAAATGCCCCCCCTCCCAGCCTCTGTCAACCGAGATGGCCCTACTAGACATCTGTGAAAAAGAGCTTGATATATAATCGGATTACTCCACTATTAATTTTCTGATTACCAGTGATGGGGTAAAGTATAGGTACTCACACTTCTTCCAAGGCATCTGGTCAGTTTGGAAGAGTAGGCCAAAGATACCCTCCAGAGGGGCTCTTTAGAGCGCCCCCTAGTGGAGGCTTTTTCACCAGCAGTAACGTTAACAAGACATTGCAGGGATGCACCTTCACTTTTTACCTTTCACAAATGTATTGGACTAACCATTATCATCATTATTATCATCATTGGCCATTTGTGTGTTTTCGATTAAAAAATCATATCATGATGATTAAAGCTGACGAAAAATGATAATGATCATGGGCGTGGAGTGGTGGAACAGTGGTTAGCCCATTGTGCTCTAAACCTGGCGACACGAGTTCAATTCCTGGCCATGGCCATGAGTGATGTCTGAACCAGTTCGAAGCAGTGTTGCGCCTGGTTAGTGTTTGGATGGGTGAGCACAATGCATAACAGGTTGTTATAGATTGGGCGGCTACGTGGTGGGCAGTGAAGCAACATGCATGGTTGTACTGTACATCTATGCTCCACGTTTTCACCAACCCGCACTGACCAGCGTGGTGAAGTATGGTGATATAACCCCTACGAGCCACACGGTATCAGGAAGTCCCTCAGCCAGCAGTGCGATTGACAAAAGGGGCTGTACATGTACCTGAAAAAATGTGGGGAAATCACCGTGGTTGTCTGTTAGATAGACCATCCTTTATTACAGGAACGTAGCATATCCACCACCGGCTCAGGAATGTGGGACAGGAGATGAGCACCACCTCAGGCGTTTGAGCAGGAGACCACGAATGGTCTTTCACATCTCATGCGACAGAATATGGTCATTGATCCATTTGTAGATAACCCCCTCGAAATAGTGGAGAGACATAGAAAAAATACTGACAATTCAAATTCTCTGCAGGTCTGCATGCCTCCCAGCAGTCCACACCGTTTTTATTTTAGGTGCTTGATTGAACCTGCGTCACAGAATTTGCGACACAGTTTTGTAAACCTCTTTCCTGTGCGGTAACGCACGCACACATTTCTCAGAGATCGAATTATGTTGTATTCTTGTTCATCGCGCTTGTTTACTCACGAAGGCCTCACTGAGTCTCACGACTCTTTTGCAGGAGGGTCCTGACAAGTTTTCGCAGCAGCAAATCATTGCCACGCGAAACCCCAGTTGCGGTAATTAGCGGTGTAATTTTCAAAATTTGGCGAAGTTGGACCACGACGCCGGCATGCGATGGCATTCTCTTGCGAATGATGCCAGGGGATCTTTAATGCACACCGTGGAGCAGATGGCACGTGGTGATTTTACGGATTAATTCACCCCCGCAGTATTCACCAGGGCGGCCGCTGGATTCGAACCACGGACTTCTGCAACAAGATGCGGGAGCCGCTGATTTCACAATGTAACAAAGTAACTAGGATCGTTAGCAATCAGTGGAGTATAGTATTAATACATCACCCCTGCATTTGAATTACATGCTCACTGACTCATCTCAAAGGTAAATGTGCAGCCCTGCAATCGCGTATATACTCCACCAGCCGGCAGAATAGCTGCTGCTGCTAGAGAGAGCCCTGGAAATCCCCTCTGGGGGGGTATTTGGCCTACTCTTCCACGCCAGCCAGACGTCTTAGAAAATGTGGGAGCACCCAGACTGTTCCTGCCACGGTACCGTGTACTTATCCGCCGCGCAAAACACCGGAACCTCGTGTTCGTGCCGGCATTTATTTGTGCCGTGTTGACGACGGTGACGAATCCGCCCCGACCGGACGGAGCCGCTCTGGCAAGGTGCGCTGAATCGTGACGGTCGTCACCAGGGCAGCCTCCGCCGGTTCTCACCTGTGCAGACAGGGCTGCACCACAACGCACGCCTCGCTCGCACCCGGCATCCAACAACACCTGAGACCCATCCACAAACAAGCCCGACCTTCTGCCGACGCTGTTAAGGGCCGCTCGCATCAAAACGAGAAATTGTCGGTTCTCAAGGGCGCGCGACGGGGCCAGGTGCGCGTCCCGTGCCCATCACGCCGCGGTCACTTCGCTCGTGACCTGCTTGAGTCGAAGTCATCGTCCGTCTTCCACGATTCAGCTCGGCGGCGACAGCTGCTTCTGCTTCGGCTGATTATTCCCCCCCCGGGAATTCGTGGGTGCGTGACGCCGGTTGATACGGTGAGGAACATCTCTCGGCGCGGCGTTGTGGAGGTCGACTGATCGCTCTGCGACTCGAGGCCATGCGTGGGTCTTTGATGCTGTCTGGGCATTGATGTCAATGTCTATTTGTTGTTGTTGTTGAATTTTTTTGAAATTAATATATGGCGCCAACACTAAATTAAGTTGTTCGACATAGCAACGCTTATTCGAGTACATGTTTGCAACCCAAGCAATAGGTTTCGAATCAATCTCTTATTTACATGACTTTTGTACTCAAGGTGCAGCCCTGGATTTGCTTTGTTACACCGCCACTGTTGGCTGGATGGGTCTCCACCAGAGGGACCTCGAAAGAGCTCCCTTTAGAGGGTATTTTGGGCCTCCTATTCCACGCTGATCACACGGCCTGGAATATACTTTTGTAATACACGTGCATCGTACAGTAATAAATGTCACTTCTTGTGACTCTTGGCGATGGCTGGGCTTGACGGCTTGGCGCGACCGGCAAGATTGCACGTGGCTTGACATCAGCCCTAATGGCTTTTGCTATTTCTCAGCACTGGCAATTAGGGTACCGACTGGAGAATTGCAACCTTAAGGGTTCATGGAAAAGGTTGAAATGGACCATAATGGAAAAGAAATTCGCTGGCACGAGGAACGAAGACAAATGGGTTTGCGGTTTGGTGGAGATTATTGGCAGTTTGTCTTCAGTTGGGATAAAATATTGCGTGGGGAAAATGTGTTCTGCGGCAAAATAAGTTACTCTTAAGCCAACGCATTTCCACTTGCTCCTCTTCGTCTCCATTTTAATTCCATTCCGGTTCTTCAATGGCTCCGTTTGGGGTTAATTTTCATCTGTAGATGGCTTGCGGACACTGAACACTTGAAGTCGGTAACGGCTCTTTGAGTGGATCATTGTAAACAGTAATTGATCAACAAAGCAGCAAAAGCAGCATTGCAATCGATATATGCTGCAATGTTTTTTTTATAATTGTAAAATGTTAGTAGACAGAACCAAACATGTTTTTTTTATTAATGTTGTGGTGTTAAAATCGGGGATGTTTCCATCTAGCAGTGGAAAGAGCATTGCTAATCATTGACCATATTTAAAATGCAGGGTGGGGCGGAAGAGTGCACAGTGGTTAACGCAATGTGCTAGTGGGCCAGTTATCTGAGTTTGATTCTCGGCCATGGCTATCATAAGGGGTGCGTGATATCGAAATTATTCCTGGCCCCTGAAATATGGTGAAACAACCCCCAAGACTAACACGGTGTGCGAAGGCCTTCAACTAGCAGTGGCTTAGCACAGGCCTGTCATTAATTAGAAAATATAAATATATTTTGGTATAAAGTTGGCAGTATTAAGATGGGGAAGTATTTATCGAGCAGCCTCAATGAGCATGCTAATAAATAATCTTCTTCCAAGTATAATGCTGAATGTTATAGTTAACATGAGACTCGTCAAAACAACCATTTGGGGTATCCCATGGTGTTTTTATTGTTTTCCATATGTGACCACCCAAAATTCTACTTTTATTATTAGGCCCAACTTTTCCAACTCCTTGCTCATGAAGACATTCATTCAAATCAAACGAATCACACATTTGGTATTCTCGCCATTCTTATGTACAAAACTATCGTGAAGGCACTGTTGCGTTTCACAGACAGTCTGCAGTAGTTTCACATTAGGGGGCGATGTTGCTGTGTGGTCTTGCCTAGGGCATCCCCAGTGGCAGCTGTCCCTATGCAGTAGTTTCACAGTCGGGGGCCATGTCGCTGTGTGATCTCGCTACTTTGAGTCGAGAACCGGGGCATCAATCTACATCCGCTTTGTTGCAGAATTGCATTTGCACGAGGACTGATTTATTTCCACATTGCTCCTGCCTTGTGCAGCTGATAAAATGACATTCTTAGTTGACCCAGAAGCTCACGTCGACAGCAGGCATAAGAAACGCGGGTTGCCTTGCATTAAACATGTTGGACAAATAACCGTTATTCATCTTCAGGCACTGCCCACCGGCTCGACAAATAATCGCTTGTGTGCTGCGAACACAATTTGACGGAGGTACACGGTTGGCACAGCCCCCTTGCGAGGAATACAACGTGAGACCCCTCTCGCTTGCCCGGTGCCTGGACTAGGGGTTTGCCACCACTATATCGAGACAAATCATGGGGGAGGGAGAACATCTCACGATACCAGACGAGGGAATAACGTGCATGCCAAATACGTCGTTCTGTAGTTGCGTAACTGACAAAAGATGGGACTTTTAACGTCCTGGGAACTTGTTGCAGATTTCCCCAGGACAGCGGCCTCAACGATAGCACAATCCTTGGTAAAAACCTCACCAGATGGCAGACCTGGCTGTAAAGTAATGTCACATTAATAATTATGGACCGTAAAAAGTGAAGGCTATGAGTGCATTTAACTTATATTTACCAGCGAAACGTCGTCCTACTCAAATTGTAAATGTTATGGATTTCTCTCCAACACACCGGTGGGTTGAAGTAGTAACTATTTGTCGTTTTGTTTACGTGATAAATCCCTTACTAATTAGCTGTGTCGGGTGGTGGAGTGTTACGACACATTTATACTTACGCGATCTAACCCAAAAACTTTTATTATGAATAATATTGGTCGTGAAAGCCTACGTCTTAAAGTGACTTATGAACCTACATCTCGGAAAACGCATGCATTATGAGAGTGTGTTTGTGTGCATGTTTTTGCCACAGGCACGTGTGGTTAATCCAGACTTGATGCCTTGCAAAAGCTTCTGGTGTTTGAACATCTTAACGCCTGCTGTTTTATCGCCAGAAAGGGTAAAACCTCTGGCCTTATTTCCCCCCCCCATCACATCTATGAGTGTAGTCAGTGAGACGATCCCAGCTGGAGCACCATCTTACAGACCGCACGTACAGCAGGCAACCCGCGTCTAGGTCAGCCACGTGTCCTTGTTTTCCACGATTGTCCTTTCATCGAGGCAGCTGTCCACGTGCGAGTCCCAGGGTGGTGTTCGCCAATGCGGTTCTCCCCTCTCCCCGCATTACGAGATCTTCTTCCTCCCGCGACGTGCCCTGGTCCCCGCGGCTTCAAGAGGTTGGCACCTGTGGTGGGGCCGAACCGTCCTAGATTTGGTTCTCAAACCGGAACGGACCAAACAGCGACCTGGGGCGTGCGACCGCGCGCTCCGCGTGTTTACTGCAAACAGCGACGCAGAGGAGACGCGTCGAGCAGCAGCAGCAGCACCCACAACACTCGCTATCGGATGATCTGCACAATCTGGGGTTGGGGTTAACCGTAGCCAGGATCCATCCCCGGCCTGTGAGTTGGCCCCTGTGCAGCTGCACCGCCTGCGCACCCTGCTAGCCGCACCGCCTGTTACTGATGCTCTCTCCGCTGTGTGTGCAGCTGTGAGCTCGGCGAGATGGACCTCACCGAAACGTCGGACTTTGCCTCTGCCAACCTCTTCTCCAAGATGGCAGAGATCCGCGCAAGCAAGATCAACTGGCAGCCCTACCTGCAGTGAGTGCGGGAACCTCGCACACACACACCGATGACACGCGTGTCTGCCGGGGCATTGGCCACGCACATTTGCGCATTGTATCACGATCATTGTTGTGTTGTTATTGTGTCACTGGTATTGTTGTATTGTTAAGTGTGTCACTGGTATTGTTGTGTTGTTATTGTTTCACTGGCATTGTTGTGTTGTTATTGTGTCACTGCCATTGTTGTATTGTTATTGTTTCGTCACCTTATCGTATGCACGTGGTTCTGCTGTCCAAGTTGTGGACAGCAGAGGCAGTGCATAAAAATGGACTGTTGGACTGTACTCTGCTCTGACATGTATGCTCTTCGCCTTCACCAACGCGCACTGAACAGCGTGGTGAAGTGTATTACTCACGCCCTCAAGTGTGCCAAGCTCTCAGCTTGTCCACCCACACCCCACGCCCCTCCCCCTAGCCCACGGCCCCCAGCCCACGGCCCCCCAGCCCACGGCCCCCCACCCACCCCGCTGCGGTGTGTGTGTGTGAGGTGTGGCGAATTATTCTCAACGTGCCCCGCATCTCCTGGTCGCGTTCCCCTGGACCCCGTTGCCCATCGCTGGAGGTTAAAGTGTGAAGAAACAGCCACGTGAAGGGAGTTTCACAAAGTTTGTACGTTGATTCACCAACCCACCCCTCCAGATCACGTGCATAGCAGCAACCCCCTGGCTGATGTGAGTATAAATCACTCGGAAAAGTCACTATGCAATTATTCATCCATCAAAAATTAATTTTAATACTCAGGATACATTGTGCATGTTAAGAATCGATTGCTTCACAATATGTGTGATTTGTATCCCGATAATATGCTTATGCTACACTTAGTTTCACGAGGAGAGAACAACACTCGACAACTGGAAATTAAAATTGAGAAACGCTACTTATGAGATGGTAGAAACGAGACAAAACGTAGCTGATCCTTGAATCGGATTGCAATTCACTCGGGGGAGGTGCATCGTTACATGCCGAGACATCAAAATCAGAAGTTTATTTCCCACCGAGTTAAGTCCATTGAGCTAAGAAGCTCATTTTCAAAGGCGACACAGCTGGCATGCATTAAGGTGGCCAAGGGCTTACTCCGGTGTTAGGGCGCTGAGCTACCGCTTGAGGAATTCTGGGTTCAAATCTGGATTTCAGCTGCCTGTGATTAAACTGTGTTCTCTGCGGTGTAGCATATATGATGGTCTCAGCGCAGTCAATAATCCCTGGACTTCTGATTTTAAAAACATCTTGAAATTAAATCAAATGTTCACTTCATTTGGCTTAAGGTCAGCTCTAATAATAAACAAGTGTCTGTTTGACTGCCACGTGATGACACCCCTTCCTCTGTTGCAGGCGTGTGGTAAAGCACGCCTCCTCAATGTGTGAATAAGAGGCCACGCGTAGGAACATGAGATGTAGTTCTGTGTCACCTCCTCATGTGCACCGTTCTCTAACGCACGGGGAGTGATATTCTTGGTTCTTTCGGTAAAGTCACGTAGAAGGGAAATAATAAAATAATAAAAATATAAAACAATAAAATTATCACGACGTTTCGACTGCAACACAATCAATCATCATCAGGTGTGAAAACCACAGCAAGAAAGAACCAAGAATATGAATCCCTGCAGTCACGAAAGCTTTAAATCAAAATGTGCACGGGAAGTGATGCACTGCACTACGAGCGTTCAGAATCGACTTCTCGTCTCATCACACTAGCATCGACACCACACCGGGAATAAAAATTATTTTAAAAAAACCACCCAGAAAAAGAAACAAAACAAAGAGAGAGTGCACGATCATTTTTTTATTTTGCTGGTAATTTGACTCATTGCTCACGTGAAATTATAATGCGATCTCTTTTCATCGCTGTGAAGTGTTAGAGAATGCGCTGTGAATGTCAGGCTTTGTGCCGGAGCCGACTTGCTCGATCCAAACTTTACAAAAAGTTGCGAACAACATTTTTATCCCGAGTCTCGGCGGCGTCATTGATGGTCTATCCTTTGTCACGATTCCACAAGGTGCTTGGCTGCAAGGATGGAGGGGGCTGCAAATGAGTCTGGGAAGTCTGCGGGAGGACAATTCGGATTGGTGCAAGAGGGCACGGCTTTTGTGAACTTCTAAAGAGGCCATTCAGTTCGCTTTCTCAGCGGTGACTGTCGCTGTCCAATTAAGGGGCCTTTGAAGAAAAGTTATTTTCGGAGCCCTCCCATTCAATTGATAAAATCAACAGTGCCACCTTATATAAGGGGTATAGACAAGAGATAGAGATGCGGTGAGATAACAGAAGTCGACAAACATGGATAGATAATGTGAAGAAAGATGCAGGCAAGATAGATGTGAGCGAGATGAATGAGATGTTTTAAACAAATATTAAGTTTCTTGCTGCGGTCAATGGCAGCAGGTGCTTTGACCATACATATTCATGCCGTCTGCTTCATAGTGGACCGTTAAAGGTCCCGTGATGTTATTTTCACAGGAGTAGGCCGTGTGTCATGGTCCAAACTTTTCCAAATTAAAAACATTGGCAAACAGATGTAAATCGTTGCCCCCCACTGCAAAACCTTGGCAAGACCCTCCTGAAAACGTGTTTTGAGATGCAGAGAGGCTTTTATGGGCAAACAAATATATTAATTCTTGTTATCGTTATGACGTTCGTTAGGATTCTAATTTGAGCTGATATTTGATGCGCCCATTTTTTTTCACGAGCCTCTTGGTACCCAGATTTGCTTATGAAAGTAATTACATTTAGAAAATATGCAACTATTATAACCTAGGCTATCACGAGTGCGCAATATTCACACATTGTAAGCTCTATTAAACAGCTCCATCTTGCATTGTCGACTGAACTGGTTAAATTTTTATAAAGAGTCTCGAACATTGAGTTCTAGGCCAATGGACCACTGAGTATGTGAATGGGTGGGTGAGTGGGAAGGAGAGTTCCAGACCACACTTAGTAGGTGAGTGGGTAGGTGAGTGAGTGGGTAGCTGAGTGAGTGGGCAGGTGCGTCCCAGGCCGATGGACTGTTGAGTAGGTAAGTGGATGGATGAGTAGATGAGTGAGTGGGTAGGTGAGTGAGTGGGTAGGTGAGTGAGTGGGTAGGTGAGTGAGTGGGTAGGTGAGTGAGTGGGTAGGTGAGTGAGTGGGTAGGTGAGTGAGTGGGTAGGTGAGTGAGTGGGTAGGTGAGTGAGTGGGCAGGTGCGTCCCAGGCCGATGGACTGTTTAGTAGCTAAGTGGATGGGTGAGTAGATGAGTGAGTGGGTAGATGAGTGAGTGGGTAGATGAGTGAGTGGGTAGGTGAGTGAGTGGGTAGGTGAGTGAGTGGATAGGTCCGTTCCAGGCCGATGGACTGCTGACCGCGAAGTCGCGAGGTCCGAATCTCGCCGTCCGATGTGTGCGGAACGATCAGCGTCGCCGTGAGCCGCCGAACGGAGCACTGCGGCGATTGAGCGTGCAGTGTGCCGTGTGCACGCCCATCAGAGTGCGTGCAGCGGACCGGTGTGCGTGCTCGTGTCTCCGGACGTGCACAGCTTGTAATCAATCCTTGGTTTAATTGGCAGCCGGTGCAAGTCATCACGAATGCCGATGGTGCTCTCGCTGCTTCATCAAAAGGTTGAGGTGAAAGAAGCTCCGAGTCCCAAATGGCATCTTGCCGGGATATTTCCCTGACCACGAGAGGTGATGGAGACCACCAGTGTGAAATCACTCTTGCGGGCAATGGTATGGAACAGTGAACAAACTCTGAGTGCGCGTGCAATGTGCTCGCTAGAAGAGTGAGCTGTGTGCATTGCAGTTCAGTTCAAGGGAACATTCAACAGAATGAGAAGTGCGTATGATTTTGTGTCTGCTTTAAACGATTGAGGTTGGAATTGATAAGAGCCCCAGATTTACTGCGGGTGATGTGGGGGAGAGGGGACATTTCAGATTATTTTACAAAGGTAAAGGTTCAATCTTAATTTTAGAACTTTCGTGACTGCAGTAAATGATTATTTGGTTCTTTCGGTTAAGTCACGTCTAAAGATAAAATAATAAATTAAATTAAATAATAGCATACGACGTTTCGATTGCAACACAAGCAATCATCATCAGGTATAATGAAATAGCGACATAAAATCTAACCAGAAAACTATAGACAGACATGATATCTGTCTGCTAATATGTCTGTCTATAGTTTTCTGGTTAGATTTTATGTCGCTATTTCATTATACCTGATGATGATTGCTTGTGTTGCAATCGAAACGTCGTATGCTATTATTTAATTTAATTTATTATTTTATCTTTAGACGTGACTTAACCGAAAGAACCAAATAATCAAAGGTAAAGGCGCAGCACTGCAATTGCTTGCTCACACCACTGCTAGCGGGAGCTCTAGAAGACCCCATCTTCTTAGAGGGTATTTGGCCTACTCTTCCGCACTGGTCAGAGATCGTGGATGAGGCGGTTTGTCCCCACGCTGCAACTCACTACACGTGGCCAGCCTCCGTCCGCACAGCGGTATGCCGGGTACCCCACGGCATACTTTCATATTCTGATACATTGTAGTCTGGCCAGAGAAGATAAGATGCATTCCCTTTTAAATGTGGCGTGCCTGTCTTGTGACGGCAGTTTGAGCTCATGTTTTTTTTTTATTAGCTCATGCTATAAACCAAGCTCCGTTATGTCTGAGGCTGGACATACGGTTAATTTACAAACGTCTGTGACAGGATTTTCTGACATTGTTTTGATAAAAATGTGTATTTAAGCGCTATTTATTTGTTGTTTAACCTATTCGCAGTATGTTCTGGCGTAGATGTCGTGTAAATAATGTGCCCTTTTGCTCTGGTTACTTTGCACATTTACTCCCTGCAATAGATGCCTCGTAACTAGCACCACTAAGTGACGGCCGTGGGCCCTCTGGTCGTCATTGTACCAGAGATGCTTAACTCCACGGCGCCTCGCCAGCTACAACAAAGTCTTGAGAGCTGTCGACACACATTCAAGAAATTGCGAGTTTTTAATTCCAGTCGGGGATGATCGACTCAGTCCATCATGATAATTGTTTTTTTACCCTTCTATCTGGCAACTAAACTGACGCCTTTTTTTTACAAGGAGTCATGTTTGCATAGACCACAATACCTGCAGTCATAATGCAAACAAAAAACATAACTCTGATAATGTATGCACTGTCCTTGAAGTTGATTGGTCCACACCCGAGACAGCTTTCCTTAGAGCCTAGTCTCACATGGGTTGGACCAGATGACGCCAAAAGGCAGTCCATCACGCCGTTGTAGATTAACGCAATGGGTGTCACTCTCGCACGAACATCATCCGTGAGCTGTCCGCTCACGAGAACTCGCAGACGCCATGGGAATGTGGAATTTATCTTCTTGGTTCTTTCGGTAAAGTCACGTAGAAGGGAAGTAATAAAATAATAAAAAATAAAACATATTATTTTATTATGTTTTTTATTATTTGTATTATTTTATTACTTCCCTTCTACGTGACTTTACCGAAAGAACCAAGAAGATGAATCCCTGCAGTCACGAAAGCTTTCAATCGAAATTTAACGTGGAATTTGTCAGATGAGTCGCAAAGCATTAGCTTATCGCTCGTTTGAGCGATGAGATATTGCGACTCTTGTTTCATTCTCAGGTTCATTTCGATTCTTCACTCCGGTTCGGAGAGATTCAATGTGCCCCACGCACGGTTTGCTGGGATGGATTGCTACGCCGCAGAGCCGTGAGGGAAGGAGGGGGGGGGGGGGGCAACGGCATGTCGAGGCCTTCATCCAGCAGTGGAATGACCATGGCTGCTGCTGCCTCTGTAATCGCTTCCTCGGCTCGGAATGCGCCGCGGTTGCTAAGCTCTCAAGACGTAATCTGCACGCGCTATTTTCAGTGTGGGCGGACAGTGCCCTGTCCGCTACACTTAACCTGATGTTAGCCACTGGCCCAGGCATTGGCATGATTACCGTAATGGGATTGTACCTCTCTCCGTACCCAATCGCTTTCTCGTATCATTGCATCTCGGAGCCGAAAGCAAACGTCCCCGTAAGCCGTGGCAATTGTAGCCTCGGACCAACGGAGAGTCGTGGGCTGCCGTTGTGTTCGACGTTATTCGCGCCGCTCCTCCGCCGCCTCGATCGCTCCTTACGATTCCACGGACGGAGTCAAGTCAGAGGCGCCGGGAGAACCGTCACAGTAATCCACCAGAGAACATTGATTGCCATGTAAACAAAATTTTGCCCCGTCGTTTAAAAGTGGGCCCCATTTTCGCCGTCGCGACGAACGATTGCAAACGGCCGCTCGTGTTGAGCCCTTCGGATGCGCACGCCACATCCACTGCGGGCATGACGGCGTGGATTCTCAGCAGCCGCACCGCAATCAACTGGCCATTCTTTCACACGTCATGGATAACAATAATGACCTTCAGTCATTTCGATATCGTTTACTCCGTGCCTATAGCTGCTCGTGGCTGTCACGAAGGCGCTTTGTTTCTTGTACGGGTGTAGTCTGCCAGTCGTTAGGCAATGCTACTTTGTGGTTTAACCTAATTGGGTATGTTGGGTAATTAAAACCTTGTTAGACTGCCACCTCATGGGTGTAGGCCAATCCGTTAATAAAAAACAAAAATATCGTAGATATGATATATAACGTGTACATGTCATCAGAGCGTGTGTGTTTGCATGTTTTGCCGCAAGCACATGTTGTTAATGCAGACTTGATGCCTTGCAAAAGATATCCATTTGGTGTTTTAACATCTTAACACCTGCTGTCTTATTGCTCGAAAGGGTAAACCCTCTTCTTATTTTTTCACAACTTCATGTACGTAACATTACGTGATGCCATAAAACGGTTGGAACGATAATATAATGCCATACAAAATGTGTCACGTGGGATCGTGGTTGATGGCGAGTATACGAATCTAAATCATAAGCAGGAAATCTGTGTTCATGTTGTTTATCAACATACAGCTGACATCAGAACCAGTCATGCGCACCCCCCTCCCTCCTACCAATCAGTGTGGTGAAGTATGGTTAAACTACCCCCCCCCCGCCCTCCATGACTGACACGACATGTCATTGAACAAAAGCAGTCACCGCATCGAGCGCTCTCAGATGCGCTTCTGCGGCCGTCTAGAACGCTCTTCCTTACGATGTTAGGAAGCCACTGGAGCTATGGCACTTTAAAATCGTCTAGATTGCAAACTCATTTATTTAAAACTGCTTTTTGTCTTTAGTTTGTTGTCCTTCCCCGGCACCTCCGCTTAGCACGGTTGGCTACGTACGGTGCGAAAGAAGTTCAGCATATAAACACGTGCATGTGGAAGCCCTCATCCCATTGGTGCATCGAGAATGGCTGGAATGTATTATTTATTTTCAAACAGCGTGGGGCTTTAAACGCAGTCGAGTGCTTCCGTATTCTCTCAACCCATCTCCCCACTCGGTCTTGGACAGCAAGAGCCTCTTGACAGGGAGGATGTTTATTCCAACAGCTGATGTCCTCACACCCAACGCCCGCTCGCCCCCCCCCCCCTCTTCCCTCCATCATTTTCCTCCGATTGAGTCTGTCCGATATTATCTCACAGAACTACATTTTTCTCGCGTACAACTGAGTCCGTAACGTTTACATAAGAGTGCTCTTATTTGCCAATAACATCCGTTAACCCGGCAGCATTGGTTTAACATTCCAATAGACACTGCTGATGAGTACCTCGAAGGTAGAATCCTGTCAACAGTTTACTTGTTGAAAACAAATTATCTGTAGCTGGGTAGTTATCGATCAACAGGCTCGTGGAGTCAAACACGGGTTTCTGCTTATACGTGGAGACCCAGAACAGAGTTTGTGCTGTCTTTAACTTGCATTATTTTGGTAATGCTGGGACATAAAAAACCAAAAATACCGTTTTGCATCCCTTTATCAATCCACTGCTGGATGAAGGCCTCCTCATGCTGTGTCAGTCTTGCCGTGTTGTCTGACCATACTTCACCACGCTGATCAGTGCGGGTTGGCAAACGGGCGTGGAGGAATAATTCAGAAACAGTCGCCGCAGAGAGTTAACCGACTCGAACCCACGTGATCAGGCGCTAAGCACTGTGCCACCACTCCACCCCAATTGTTGTTTTGTCCGTGAACCAACTAGCAGGATTTGTTGTGTGACATGTTTTATTTCAAAGATTCGATCATCATAATCATCATCATCGGCCATGGCCAATCCACTGCTGGATGATGGCCTCCCCCAACTCATTGTGCTTTGTGACAAACCCACCGAGCATCTGGGCACGAACTGCTTTAATCGCTCCATCTCATCGGTGGACCTACCCTTGGCATGTTTTCATGCGCAGTTTACCCACAACAATATAGTTTTTTGCATTGTAATTCTCTCTGCAAACATTCGCAAATTACTGAAGCAGCAGCAGCAGGAATTCAGCTGCCATTTGGCCAAGAAGGAAGACGTGGAGAGTGATGGGATCGGGATGCCAAGAGCGGTGTGGCCAGTACTAAACTATTTATATTTTACCAGATAAGGCCCACTGAGCAATATATCTCTTTTCAGAAGCGACCTGGCCATAAATGAAAGCTCAACGAAGCGCCTTATCGCTTGGAAATTTATAGCATCCAAATACTCCAAACGCACGTTGCTTTTCAATGCGGAGGGGAAAATCCACGCGACCACGAGGCGAAACACGCAAACTCAGCAGGCGTCAGGGTCGGGATCGAACCCACGCTCCCCCGGCATAGCAGGCGAGTGAACCCTGGCCGCACAGCCGCTTGTCTCCTGCTCGGGCGGAGGGACGAGTCACCAGCGTGCGCCTCTTTAACGTGTCCGCAGGAGCCAGCTCATCGCCGCTGACGATTTCGAGTTCATCCAGCGGTTTACCGCGGCTGGAACCGAGCAGAGGCGCCGCATCGCCGAAATCGAGGGCACGCAGGTACCACGCACGAAACTCAGCCGCACACACAAACATCGGCAGCGCGAGATGCCGTCGACCCGTAACGTCTCACTGCTGGGTAGAGGCGACGTTTAGTTTGTTGTCCTTGGCCACGTACGGTGCGAAAGAAGTTCGACGTCCATGCATACAAAGGCCTCCCAAAATTGACTCCCACTTCTCTTGGTTGGCACTGACTGGTCGTGGTCTCGGAACTGCGCGACGCCGTCTCGCCGCTGAGGCCTCTCGCCTCCGTCTACTGCCCCATACCCCCCCTCCGCTCGGTCTCTGCTCCGGAGCGAGGCTTTGTCTCTCGCCTCTCTCGTCAATTGTTTTCACGACCGTCTCAAAGCTTCTGGATTTTTAAGAGGTCACGGGGGGAGCTTTCTAAGACTTTGTTTATTTCCTTTTGGGGTCAACAGATCCATCAAATATTTAGCGGAGTTAGCCAAGAGAAGCGATATAGTAAACAGAGCCGAGTGCATGTTTCTACGGGCAGAGAGCGAGTTCGATTTCGAACCGAGACACTGGAAAGGTCACGATGGTGGGTTCTGTCGGGAGCATCCAGTGCACAGTGATGAGCCGAATGGTAGAGTGAGTTTAGCTTATTTAATGCAAACGCAGAAGCGAACTGATAGACAACATCGTGGTTATAAAAAAATTGAAATATGCTTGCTCTTACAATATCTAAACGTAGCATAGACGGTTTGCGGTTTTTACGTCTGTATAGGAAGCCAATGTTAACATTAATCTTCTTTGCGGTTTAATCATTAAAATGGGAGTTAAACTTCAATTTAGAGTTGATGATGAAACCCAAAGTATCTGTACTCCTCCACTTGTTCGATTTTTGATTATCTCGACACATAACTTGGGTTGGAAACGTGACAAGATTTCACTTGTTGGAGAAACTCATTATTTGCATTCAGAAATAATTTTCAGGGGAAATAAGCTGACACTGAATAAGATCAAGATGACATTGTAATTCAAGGTGTACCTCTTCTGGGGCATTTACAGCTACCATTCTTTTTCGGTATGATCAGCAAAATTTTAAATTGGGATATAACAGCACAATGTAGAGAGAGAGAGAGACGGGCTCTATATAGTAAGATTAAAATAAGATTAAAAAGTTGTGCTGGCTGGCTGGCAGGGATGGGCGGATGGTCATGTCCAATGGACATGCGGGTTGCTTTTCATTTAAAACAATACCAAACCAAGGGAGCTACAATCGATCTTCCATAAAACTGCAGAGGTTCATTATATTTTTTTCATTATCCCATTCGCGTCGCCGTGCGGATCTGGAGTCAGGCTGCTCCGACCAGGGGATGCCTTCGCGCGACATTGCGGAGTCCGCGGGCGAATCGCAAACATCGCGAGCTCCGAGCGGCTTGCCAAGGGAATCGTTTTGCCTCCGAGACTGACGCCGCTCACAGCCCTCACAACCGAAACACTTTCTGAGCGATGAAGTTCCGCACGAATCTCCTGGCGCCCCCGTCTGATGTCCTATCAGTTCATAATCAACGTTTTTGGGTTTAGATCGCGTTATTTATAAATGTGTCGTAACCCTCCACCACCCGACACGGCCAATCAGTAAAAAAGTGTCACGTTGACAAAAGACAAATAGTTCACTGCTTTAGCCCACCGGTGTGTTAAAGCCACAACATTTACAATTTGAGTACGACGTTTCGCTGGTAATTGCATCCAGCATCATCGGGCAATTCGCCTCCGTGTTAAACTGATCCTATCAGCTTGTCTTCTTGTCGTTGTTTTGGCCTGTGTGATCCCGATACGCATTGCAGGGTGAATGTCGGACAAACTAACAGAATTTACATTGTTGGGATGTCCCATGAAATGTGCCTTAGCAGCGAGCGCAGCGGACTCGCAACCCAGAGGTCGCCGCTTCAATTCGATCTCCCGGTGCGGCAGTTGGAACAACGGCGCGAGTTTTCTAAACCTCCCCCACCACCCAGCAGTGTAAATGCCCTACAGCAGCCGTCCCCAATATTTTTGGCACCAGGGATCGGTTTTGTGGAAGAGCATTTTTTCACTGACCGGGGGAGGTGGTGGGGTCATCATTGGGTCTTTCCCCCTTTTCAAAGAAGCTCTCCGGCGACGTTTGTTTTTTGACTCATTTTGGCTACTAGGGGCTAGAGCTTGTGGGCTTACCAACACTGTGACTGAGACGAGTGCGCAGTGCGGGAAAGAGGCGCGGACGGAAGTGGTAAACAATAAATGAATGGGGGCGGGCCATGCGCAGACTCACCGCTCTCACCTCGTGCTGCTGCGCGGCCCGGTTCCTAACAGGCCACGGACCGGGCACGGGTCCCCAACCCACGTGACCCGTGGGTTGTGGACCCCTGCCCTACAGCACTGTCGGTCCGTCCGCCAGTGGGGCGCGTGCGGCGGGGTAAAGTGTGGGTACTCGCACCCCCTTCCAAGACGTCTGGCCAGCGTGGAGGAGGAGGCGGAGGACAAAGTACTCGAGAGAAGGAGGCTCTCTAGAGCTCTCTCTACATGAGGCTCTTCCACCAGCAGTGGCGTAACAAAGCAATTGCAGGGCTGCACCTTTACCTTGACTTCGTTTTTTTTTTAATTGCACAGTACAGCGCTCACTATGTCGGGGAAACATTTGCTTAAACGATGCATTATTAATGGCGTTCCCGTCAAGCGCTCATTGCCGTCGTGCGCAATGAATCATTCAAAGTTTTAGCTCGCGCGGCTTCGATTTGGCAGCTTAATTTTTTTCTTCTAAATGTCAATAGTCGGCGGCCGCGAAGACGCTGTAATTAGGGCCGACTTGCTTGCGCGCGCAATATAGCGAGAATCGAGAATAGAGTCGCTCTCCCTGTCTCTCTTTTTTTTTACGATCAGTGGAAACAAGAAGATGCTCGGTGTAGTCGGCATTTTGCTTCGTTCATCATTGCGTAAAATTTTTTTTGACATTTTTTTTTACTTTGCTTTATGTAACCCCCACCCCCCTCTCGCTCACGCTCTCGCTCACGCTCGTTCTGTCTCTCTCTCTCTCTGTCTCTCTCTCTCTCCGCAGTGCGCCCAGACGCTCCTGCACCTGGTGACGCGCATCGTGAAGGAGAGCGTCGTGCAGTTCGTCCTCGTGCTGATCGAAGACCTGCTGCAGGTGACGCGTGCACAGCTGCCTTTCCCACGTGGCCGCGCTCTCCGGATTATCTCGCTTGTGATTGGCTGTGCCCTCACAGCAAGAAGGGGCCGAGGTTCGAAACCCAGACTCGTGTGCCCTTCTGCGTGCAGTTTGTTTGTCCGAAACTATTTTTTTCGTTTCCATTGGTTTCCTCCGGGTTCCCCGGTTTCCTCCCATAGCTTAAAAGAAAAAGACAACCTCACAATGTAGCTGGCGTTGGCCAAGGTTAGCAATGCTGAAACATTGCCTTGCGAATTACTCTATGAGAATTGCGCTTGGCAACATTGCCTCCTACTGCGAAAAAAAATGTGGCAGGATTCTCCTGAAAACGAGTCGTGGGACTCAGTGAGGCTTTCCTTGGTAAATAGGCATAACGACACAGCCGTGCGGTAAGCGCGTTCGCCTCAGGTGCAGACGTTCGCGGTTCGAGCCCCATGGCCGCCCTGGTTAATAACTGGCGGTGGGTGTGGAGAGCTCCCTGGAGCTCCCTCTGGTGGAAGCATGTCCGTTAGCGGTGGCGTGAGCGAAAATTTTAGAAGGCCGCGTGACGTCCGGCATCTTAGCTTGAAGTGTAAAGTGCTGCACCTTCACCTTTCACGCAAACTCATCATGCTGTGGCGCACTGAGCCTCACGCAGGCCGGCCCGATGCATTGCCTCTTAGCCTCTCCTGCTCCCACAGCCTCCCCCCTCCAATGGCTTTCCCTGCTTTTCTGTCTCCGCCGTCGTCGTGAACCCAAAGCGAGGGACGCGGAGGTCAGGGGAGGTGGCCAAGGGTCACGGAGCTGTGAAGCCCTTGTGCTTTGGGATTCCCACTCCCGCCTGTCACCCACCACGGTTCAACGTTAAGTTGCCTTCAGTGAAGGAATTCATTCCCGCGCCAAACATCGTCCGTTTTAAAATTGATTATTTTCTCAGTTGCATCGGGGCGGGCTTTAGCGGCCTCGCGTTTTGTTTCCAAAAAATATTTGTTTTATTTATCGAGTAGTTTTCAGTTTTTTTAAACCCAATGACATCTGATTCTAGAGCGCAGGGTTTCGCGGTCGTGCCGCCGCGTAGTTCGCGTTCTTGGCCACGGCGTCCGTCGTTTCGCTCCGCGTGCCCCCGGGATCTTCTTGCAGGAACGATGCGAGAGAAACTGCTCACGTGCGCTACAGCTCACGCATGTGAATCGCGTTTCCCGTGCAGGAGAACGGAGAGCACGCGCAGATTTTCTCCGTGTTCACGCGGAGGAACCACAGGAGCCAGTGGGTGCTCTTCATGCCCATGCTCAACCGCCAGGAGATCCTCACCATGCACCTGGTATGAGCAGTGCCACACACAAAACACAAAGACCCCCCCCCCCATCGCATGCACACACACGCACACACACGCATACACACAAAGACCCCCCCCATATAGCCTGTAACAAGACTGTTGTGGCAAGTGCTGTTAGCGAGCACCTATGAAGGCCGGCACGGCGCACGAGCGGGTGGGTGGCCAGCACCACGCTCGCTTGGCACAGGTCTATGATCCCTGGTATAGCCTCTATAGATTGTTGGGGAAAGTGCTGTTAGTGTGCATGTGTTAAGGACAGTGGTACATGAAGGGGTGGTGTAACCAGCACCATGCCTAAGCCACCTTTATCGCCCCAATGTTGATGTTTACACAGAACCAGGCACTCATTTGAGACTAAGATTACCTAGGGGAGGCCCAGGACTGGTTCAGAAATCCCTTGTCACTGATGTTAGCCGTGGCAGGACATTTATCCGGGTTGATGGTGCAGCGTGCCAATCGTTGTGCCACCGCTCCCCACACACGTGTTCACGTACAGTCCCACGCACCCAACCACAGTTGATGACCTGCCTCACGCTCACGACTGGAACGGCCTCTGGAGATCACTTTACCTTATAGATCACGTGAGGTGGACAGCTGACCCAGGGCAGAGCACAACTTTCCGAGCATATATCTGATAGATTGAGAGGATGGCTTTGTATTCTTAGGTTTTGATACAGCTATCGTGCTGTGACTGTTCCATCTGAAGACGGAAGCTTGTGTTGCTTCCGAAACGTCGTGATTTTAATTTTAATTTTATTTTTATTTTACTTTTATTAATTTTAATTTTTTACCTACGTGACTTTACCGAAAAAACCTAAGAATATGAATCCTTGCAGTCACGAAAGCTTCAAATCTAAAAGGAGGGCTTTGGTTGGGGGGGGGGGCATAGATTTTAGAGAGTACAGCCAAACTTAGAGCCGCGAAATGGCGTCGTGTGTGGAGATTGCCTAAGGATGCCTTCACCCAGCAGTTGATAGATCGTGACTGCCGATTAGCACCGTTGGCTACGTACGGCGCGAAAGAAGTTCAACATACATGATGATGATCACAATCATATGTTTTAACTATGTGACGGTGTCTCACCATCACTGCTTCTCTCCCCTTCTCTCGGTATCCACTTCCATCGTTAGTTTTGTCTCTCAATCCCTCAGCTTCACAGTACTGCAATCACATTTTCTAATGTAGCCATATCATCGTAAAGTGGGGGTTGTTTGTGTGGAAGTAAACAAAGAAGCAAAGGGAGGGGTGGAGCGATAAAGACGGGCAGCTATAAAGTTGGCAGCAATGGAGGATATTTTATTTTCGTTACGAAGCTAATTGAATGACTTGACAGAGGCAACCTGATATGGACAATCACATCCCCTTTGATTCTCAATTCAAATTAAATCGCAATGGTTTTGCGTGGGTAAGCGCCCGCATGAGAACTGATGAATCAACGTGCTGTTTACTTTGTAGCGTTGTGGGGGAACTCGTTACGAGGGTGGGGTGGCGGTCGGTGTCGGCTTGGCACGAGAGGCCTGGCACTCTCCAGCACGTGTAAGCCACACTGTGACGTCAACACATGCGGCGGTGCGTGATGCATTTTTATAATTACAAGTCACAGCTCAGGTTTAAAAACTAATTTCGTTTTTTTTTTATTTTGCGCGCTGGAACCTTTCAATAATTCATCGAGTGAAACGCTCCAAAACTGCACGGCAGAAATTTTGTAATTGTCAAAGGAAAATGATCGTGGGTACAAAAGCAACTGAGTTTGGTGTGGTGATTTGATTTAAATTTTGTAATTTTTTTCCTTCCACTAAAACCCGATATTTTGCTTTCTCAGAGCTATGATTTATTCACATTTTAATTCTACAGTCATTGGCGACCTCGTTAAGACCATTATGTACCTGATCAGAGTTAAGGATTCAGCCAAGCGTGTGCAGCGTGTGATTGTTGCTGGTTTGCATGCACTCGCCTTCCGGCACCGAACAACAGCGTGGCGGCTTCCATACGTCCTCCACTTCGCAACAAAAGATCGATCGAACAAAAAATTTCACCGGATAGCCCCAGGGGTCTTTGAAGAGCTGCACTGAAGCTGAGCACCCTTTTATAACGACAATAATAATAATGTATTTATCCAAGAAAGCCACACTGGGTCGAACGACTTTTGTTCATTGGGTTTTTATTTCAAGATGTTTTCAGCCATTTCACGTTTTATACCGCGCATTAAAATACAGATAATAGTGCTGGCTGCTACACTATGGACGAGGTGGCCTGGGTGAAGGCGAGGCTGTTATGTTTCGGATGGACGGCCATGTCCTCCTCTCGTGTTGTGAAGAAGGCCGGCCAAGCAAAATGTAAATGTCCTTCCCTCTCACGGGAACACATTGTTTCTGGGTTTAAAAAATAAAAATCACAATCTCCAGGCAGCGACGGCTTGGAGAGGCCCTTCATCCAGCAAGTGAATTGATCGTGGCCGATGACGACCGCGAAGGAAATGTAAATATTCACGGTAAACACGACGCGCTAATCTCTCGGCATCAAAGTGCGCGGCAAATTGTTTTCGTTGGCTACCCCCGGCCGTTCGTTTTGCGGAGGCAAAAAAATAACCGGCGATATTCCGTAAATGTGCCGTTTATTTGTCGAAGAGATTAAAACGACGGTGCCCCGCGCGTGTGTGTGTGGACATCCGGCTGGAGGTCGCCCTTGCTACAGGAATCCATTACCCTTTTCCATCTGTCAGTCGAGTACCCGTTGCCCAACCACCAGAATGTGGCCACGATTTATGGACTACCGCCATCACCCGCACGGCTCCTGCCCCCCACGCGTCCCTCCCTCCCTCCCGCAACCCTCTCTTCCAAATGTCACCGGCAAACAAGCGGCACATAAACAAACAGAATTAGCTCTGCCCCGCAGATGTAACATTTCTAAATGCATTTTTGGGAAGTGCACTCGGTGTGCGCGCCACCATTAGCTCAGCTCGGAGCGGAGAGCCCTGTGCGGTCCGGGTACCGCCTGCTGTCTTGCGCACCCAGCCCAGCTCTGTCTGTAACGGCGGGGACGCGATAATGATCTAGCAAAGATGACCTCGTCCTAATGTTTCTTGTTCTGTTTTTAAGGATGAAGTTGCGTTACTATTAGCAACCTACCCGAGAGTAAACAGCTCAATTTGACGAGAGGGTAGCCCAGAAACTTGCAGATAAAACCAACGCTGAAAGGTGTCGTCTTTGGTGGACAAGGCGGCGATGGACATCACGTGATGTGTGCGGCTCGCAGAGTGACACTGTTATTGCCCATTGATTAGCGCGGCGTTCGTCCTCACACCTCTTCCTTCCAAGACATCTATCCGGTGGAAGAGTCGGTGAAATCCCCTCTTAGATGGGCTCTCGAGAGCTCCCTCTGGTGGAGGCCCTCTTCTTCCAGCAGTGGCGTGAGCGACATATTTCTAGGTTGCACCTTTGTACCTTTAACAAATATTATTTTAATTCACTTTATTAATATTTTAGTTTTATTATTTTTATTCACTTTATTATTATTTTATATCTACGTGACTTTGCCGAAAGAACCAAAGGATATGAATTCCTGTAGTCACGAAAGTCAACATTTTAAAATACATAATCAACGATTTTGGGTTGATTATGAATAATATTGGTCGCGAAAGCCTACGTGTTAAACATTTTTAAATACAGTTTGAGATTATTTGATTTGTTACACGGATGATCGCGTTCGGGCCAGCACAGAAGCAGCTGCAACACAAACCAAAGACATCAACGTTGCAGAAAAAAACGATGCACATTTATGATTAAAAAAATACTGTGATAAAAAAAAATGAACAGTTCCTAGGACAAACACGCATTGGGAAGCATTACAGAAATCCCTGCGTCGGCACGATTTTTCTCTTCCCTTCTCATTAACGTCCTACCCGACGACTTGGCCTTACCGCAAGGAACCTGTGTGGGAGAGCAGGGATGCGCTTTGAGCGAGCGGAGGATGTTTATTGAAGCGGCTAATTGACGCCGCGCAGCGGTGCGCGGATCGCATCGGGCGAGTCGGAGGAGAGCGGCTTGGAGCCTGAGCCCCCCCCATCCACCCCAGCGCGCTCTATCCTACCTGGCAGCGAATTCCACGCGCAAATTACAAAACCAGCATCGCCCACCAGCCTCCCCACTTACCCCTCTTGTCAAAATAATTAATTGCCATAATTTCTGCAACCTCCTGTGTTGACCTACTTGCTTTGTTGAGCACGCGTAGTTCCCGGTTCGCCCGTTGAAACAACTACGGTGCAACTTCCTCAAACCCCCTAAACCTCATCGCCTCTGTCCACCCAGCAGTAAAACTGGGTAAAAATGTGCTTTAGCTGGTAAAATGAAATAGTTTCGCTTTATTTGCATACATATGTTTTAGTGCTTTGCTCACCTTTTGTTATAATTCGCACTCCTATCGCGTGTCCATGTTTTGTTATTGTAACGTTCTGACCCCATGCCTCGACTGGACATCTGTGGCAAAGAGATTAAAAAGCTCATTGTATTCCTCCTCCAGTATAAATACATATTCTGATTCTGGGTTCGACACGGTTAGCTCATGGGCGATCGGGGTAGAGGGTGGGTCGACTCACCAACCTCCGAGTCGTCTGACCATTGTTGAAGAGTAGACCAAGTGCCCTTTAGAGGGGCTGTCTCGAGTTCCCTCCGCGTGAAGGCCCAGACGCCCTTTCGCGAATTGCGTCCATGCCGCGTCCATAACGCCGCGCGACATCTCGGGGTGCAGTTTGTTTGTTATTTTTTTCGCCGAGGGGACCCCCATGATTGAACCTCGTCCACACAAATGCTGCTTTGATCCGGCCGGAGTCCCCATAAGTTCTGGTTCCATAGGGACAGCCGTGAAAATTATCTGCTTCCTGTTCCCGACTCTCGCTGCTGCTGCTGCTGCTGCCGTAGCCCCTGGTATAATTTTGGGTTCGAGTCGCCTTTGACGTGAATGTAATGTCCTTCGTTTGAAGACGTTAG